TTTTTTAATTTATAATTTCAGAAACAAAAATAAGGAAGCCAATCCATTCTGCACACTGCTATAATCGACAGCTCCCTTGTTTCTACCCGCTCCCTGCCACCTACCCAGCAACACTTTTTTCCACTCCAGAAGCAAGGATACAAGGAAATTGCTGTTAAATAGGCTTTCTGACAGGGCAAACTGGAATTACGGTTATGGCTTGTATGCCTAATTTGTTGCAAAGATTTGGTGAGAATTGTTCAGCAGTACTTATGGAGACTTATTTTCCACCAAAAGAAGATGCCCTCATTTTTAGCAGTTCTTTCTGAACCTGCAGTAGCCTGTTGCTACTACCCACAGCAGCCTGAGGCGGGGGTAGAGATATGGGAAGAAGTAATGGTAGGAAAAAGGGTAAGAATAGAAATGTCAGTTATCCTTAATTTTTAGACATGCAGAAGTGGTAGTTAATACAGCCTGATTGAATGCCGGCCAAACCAGCTTCTGCAGTTCTCAACTGCACATTGGCTTGGTGCTTTGGAAATGGCTTACTGCTAGGCAAAGACTCAAACTTGCTAACATTTGCATTTATCTGTTTGTAATGAACAGCAGGAATCGCCTAAACCAGTGAAACACCAGGCAAGTGCTTTTCTTTATGCTTCTTAGTCTTGAGTGTTTGCACCAATTTCTGTCTGTAGATTGAGTCTCTGCTAGAATCAAATACCACTAGTTGTAAGTGAAATCTATCATTAAAAAAATTTAATTTTGAAAATTTATTGCTTAGAGCCTTATTCTTTCATGAGAAGCGCATGCTGTTTTGCTTTAAATTTGTTTTCTAGATAAATTTTAATATTTATTTGCCCTTTTATCATGACATTGAACTGCATGTTTATGAAGCCTATAAATGATGGTTTCCTATGTCATATACTAGGTGGAATTATTTGTATACTTACCAGATACATGGAAACCTAGCTTTATGCCATACACTACATTTTGAATTTGAGGCTACACCTTTAAAAGTTGTACCTTTGGAGCTAATAAATTTCTGATATGTTAAATTTTTATGGCATGGCATAGTTTCTGCCTATATGTGTTTTAAACTAAAAGCCCAATTGTATTTAACATATGAAATATGTTAGAGCTGGGCACAGTGGCACATCCTCAACAGTCCCAGCTGCTTGGGAGACTGAGACAGAAGGATTGCCTGTGCCAGGTATTTGAGGCTTCAGTGAGCTATGATCACACAACTGTGCTCCAGCCTGGGCAACACAGCAAGACCTCATCTCTATAAATAAGTAAAATAAATTATGATTTTCTTATGCTGGGCAAATAGTGGAAGACAGTTATTCTTCCTAATTATCAGATGCTAGCCTTTTAGCTCCATAGAGCATAGCAATGAAGAAACCAAGAATCATAGCATGACCTCTATTTCTCACTACCTGGAAGGAGGAGGAGGACAGACCTGAGCTAGATTCCTTGGATAGAGTAGGGCATCTATACTTGGATTAATCCTTTCCCTAGCATTGGAATGGCTTTGGTTTGTCTTCCACAAACATAATGATACGAAGGTAATATAAAGCCAGAAACAAGAACATTGAGTTAGGGAAATGATCTGTTAATATAAAGAAATGATCATAAATATCTAAGGAATTGCCATAGACACTGATATTTTAGGATATCATTCTTAAGATTCTTAAGAGATTGCCAGCCACCAAAGCTGTACTATACTCATGAAGACCTGTGATGTCTGTTTGCTCCTTTAGCTGCAGAATAGACCACTGATACAAAGGGTTAATGAAATAATCATTATCCTGTAGGATATTTAAAAGCCTCTTTGCCAATTAAAGAAGGAAAATCTGGACCAGAAACCAGCTTTTCTGTAAGCTTTAGAAGTACTTGCTAAATGTCCTTTTAATATGTACTTGTGTCACTACTGAAATAGTATTAAGCAATTAATACACAGATTTATGTTTTCCAAATTCCCTATGGAACACATACATCATTGTTGTTAACATTTTGTTTCGATGTCATTTTAAACTACAGAGTGGATCCCTGTTGTGTGTGAGTAGCATGCCTGCCCCACCTAGATTTTACTTTGGGTCAAATCAATCCCTGGGAAGCACATTCTCCCAAAGAAGGCAGCAGCTTCTTTGGACCATGCTTCCGGTCATGGCCGATTTGCATGTCGTACTGCATGAGCCCACTGTGCACACAATCTTCAGTGCTGCTTTTCCCGAGTTGATTTTAATAGTGGTTAAGCAGTAGCTATGCTGATGTTTTTAGAAATATTAGAAGAATATTTGTTCTCACTTTTTCTTCCCCAACACAACTGAAGAACATGAAATGCTTAACAGCATGATAGGAAATGGTCACACCCAGGAAGGGTCCTGTCAAAAAGTTACTTCTCCCCCCGCTGGGTGCCACTATCTGCGACTTCTTCACCCCACTTGAATGATTGCTTTAAAGTTATACTTACTATGTGAAGTCTGTACTTTGCAGGGTCACAGTTTCTTTTGGTTGATTTGATACCACTGGCCTATGATTTTATATTTAACTTTATAAGCAAAAGTTAAATTCCAAGGAACTATTTGTGTACATCCACCATTTTATCACCAAACAGTAGTATGAATTGTAAACACAAAGGGGAGGGTATTTCCAGGCTCCTGATTACTTTATTTGCTTATCTACTCATTCTTTTTTTGAAACAACGTAATTGAGATATAAGTCACATACCATTCAATGTACCCATTGGAAGTATACAATGTAGTGTTATTAGTATATTTACATGATGCAATTATTATCATAATCAATTTTAGAACATTTTCATCACCCCAGAAGAAACTCCATACCCATTAACAGTCACCTCCCATTTCCCCCCAGCCCCTGGCAACCACTAATCTACTTTCTGTCTCTATGAATTTGCCTATTCTGAACATTTCATGTGAATGGAATCATATACTATGTGGTCCTCCCTGGCGGTTCTTTAATTTGGCATAATATATTCAAGGTTCATCCAGATTCTAGCACATATAAGTACTTCGTTCCTTTTTATGGCCAAATAATATTCTATTAAATATGTGTCACATTTTGTTTACTCATTCATCAGTTAATGGATATGGATTTCTTCTACTCTTTGGCCATTATAATTAATGCTGCTATGAACACTCATGTACAAGTTATGGTGAGAACATATTTCTTTTTTCTTGGGTAGATACCTAGAGGTAGAATTGCTGGGTCATATGGTAATTCTGTTAAGCATTTTTAAAGAGACTGCACCATTCTACATTCTCACCAGCAGCGTGTGAGAGTTTTGAGTTTCTCCATGTCCTCATCGACACTTAGTGTTGTCTGTGTTTTTATTAAAGCCATCCTAATGAGCGGTGTGCTCAGTCTTTTATGTTTACCTTTTAATTTTTGTCTTCATTTTCAAAAAATGAACAAATACAAGCAAATCAGTTTTCAAAATTAAAGTCACAATACTTAAGTAAACTTTAAATAAACATTATCTATGAACCTTTGTTATACTTTTTATAACAAAATTAAAGGTCTTACTTGGCTATATCCCCTTAGTATCCACGCTGCAGATGCAGCGTCTGTGTGCCCTCTTTCCTCATAAGACGTTGCTCTTAGAGACCCTCAAGTCTAGCACAGAGTTCACTGCCACTCCAAAGCCTCAACACAGTGCCATTTCAGAGCAGACTTGAAAATGATTAAGTTCTAAAACTTGACCATCCCCTACGAATGATTCCTTCAAGCCAGCTCACTTGCCTCCCTGTCTTTCCAGTCATATTCAAGACAACTTTGTATCCTTCCTCAACCTGATTTAAACTGTCCTGAACCAAGACAGAAAGGTGATAGATAGCAAGTAGTAAGTAATTAGAGCCTGTCAGGTGAGATTAGAGTCTGGTTTTCAATATGTGATTGGTTGCTGCCGCCTGCTTTTAACCCTCCTGCAGCTCTGCCCTGCCAGGCCTGCAAGGTATAGCCCAATCCCAGCCTGAGTCCCCTTGCTGGCTGAACTGGAGTTTTGAAAGAGGTATATATTTTTAACCATTTCAAACTAATGCTGTATCATATAGTGAAGTGTATATTATATACTATGTAATAATCCCAGGAGTATAGTTTTCACTATTACTGGTAAACCTTTAAAGCGTTATATAACTCTAAATATTTAGAACTTTAAAAATCATTTCAATAGCTAAGGCTGCTTTTTTTTTTAATATTCCAAAATAATATTATAGAATAGAAACAGGAGACATTGCCCATCCACTTCTAGAGGAAAAGTGAATAGTCACTGCCCCCGATGGTTTATAAATGCCTTCATAATTTGGTTGAGATTTGTTAGCACCATTTATCTAATTATGAAATTGGTCAACACAGAAATTGCCTTATTTCATGTTAATTTCTATATGCTGTGATAATTGGCTTTGTGCCAGGTTTTCGGGGCTTTATTTATGAGTTTTTGAGATTGTTGCTCAATCTAACCAATGTCCACTAAAATACCATGACGCTATTAATGTCGTGGGACCCACAGCAGGAACGGAGGAGTACATGAGTCCACAATTACCATGGTGACTATGAGGACCCATAAATCTTCTTGCTGCCTTTGGCTCACCACCATTCCCTCCCTAAATACTACTAGGATTCTGGGTGTCCAACCTTTTGGCTTCCCTGGGCCACACTGAAAGAAGAAAAATTGTCTTGGGCTACGCATACAATACACTAACAATAGCTGAAAAACTATTTTAAAAAAAAGGTTTGTGCATTATTTTCATGATATCTGCCATCACAGATAAGCAAAAAAGTCCTCACATTTAAAGGGTTGGACACCTGTGGAACCTCTGATTATACATTCATTCAGCAAACATTTCCCAAGCATCATTTTGACCTGATACTGAGTTAGGCACAGGGAATACAACCAGGTTACTTGAAGCCAACACAAGACGAATAGAATCAGTGGATCTCTCTTTCTCTTTCTCTTTCTCTTTCTCTTTCTCTTTCTCTTTCTCTTTCTCTTTCTCTCTCCTTCTCTCTCTCTCTTTCTCACACACACACACTCTTACACATGTGCACGCACACACGGGAAAAGAACCAGTAAAAAAATTTGACCCAAATAATCCTTTTAGCCATATCTAAGTAATATTAAAATAAGTATTAAAATAAGATATGCATTGCTGGCTTTACCTCCAAGATGGGAAAACTCTTTAAAGATGGACTAGGGAAGTCTTTTTCTTATGACTTGGTAGGATAGTGTGTGATTTTAAGAAATCCATAGTCTGTAGGATAGTGTGTGATTTTAAGAAATCCATAGTCTAACAGTAGATATTTAGTATTAAGGTAATGCCCCACTTACCAGAATGCCAATGTTTTTCCAAGTTTCCACATTCTCATCACATAGATTGAATTAGGTTTAAAACAAAAAGGCTTTTAGAGACCCAACAGTTGATGCAAAGTGAGTAAACCAAGGGCTTTGCAAGATATTAGTCATAGGAATGCTGATGGAAGTGACTGCTGACCCAGTTGGGGGAAATGCAGTCTATTCTACAACCAAATAATGACTGCCATTTTTAATGATGGCTCTCAGTCATCAGAGTTGTTCGGGATACCATGCTTAAGAAAGTTTGGCAGCAGGTAATGGTATAGAAAAACTTACAGCAAAAATAGTCTGGTAAGTATTTTGAAGTTAAGAAACTAGAAGATTTGTTGTGCAGGGAGAAAACTGTCTAATGCCAAGAAAATGAAGCGATGCCATGTAATGACATCCATGTAGCTTGAGATTCTTGACAAGACTGGTTCCTGACTGGTTTTAGTTGAACGTAGTTGTAGACTGTAGTTAAGACCTGTGAACATGCAGACAGTCCTGATCATGCTGTAAAGGACGTACACAGAGCAGGTCCCCTTCCTATGTAATGTGCCTCAGGAACATTTCCCCACCCTTTCAGCTGAGTGACAGTCCACACCAGGGTGGCATGGCAGAACTATATGGATGACATATATTTGTTCTTTTTTTGAATTTGATGGTGATACAGTGCATCACATACCAAATGCCACTAATTCAAAAGCCTTATGTGAGGTTCTTTATGGTGCATCTTTTTTGCTTCGAGTATCACATTTCCTAGCAGTTTTTATTTAGTTAGTTTTTCTTTAGGTCCAAAATACTGTGGGTATTTTAAAATATAGGGGTAAGATTTATGTTTGGAAAAAGCAGGTTTACTTAAGTCATAAAATATAATTCTGAAATTACATTCCAGAAACATAACATCACTTCTAGTGCTTTTCATGGCCAGAAATGGCATCGCGCTTTCTCATACAGCTCTCTGTTGTCTTTCATGATTAAAGTACATATTAATATACATCTTTTGTTTGTAAAATGTGTTTTATAGCCTCATTTACATGTAAGTAAAGAGACTGACTAAAGCAGACATTATACCAAATACCCTCTACTCAGCCTTTCAAATCTGAGCAAGTCAGTAGCATCAACATCTTTACCATCCTGAGATAGAGATATTATATGAAATTCCTTGGAAAACTGGAAAGTGTTATATCAATACAGTAGTAACTGTTAAATTAACTGCCTTAAAGCTTTCACATAAGGCGGAGTTAAACAGAAGTATTAATATGGTCTCTCTTTTTTTTTTTTAGAAGCATTAATGTGTTCTTAATTGGAGTATCATGCGAAATTTCATTTCATGAAAGCCAGTCTGTTTTATTTTCGAAATTCTGTGCCTGATTTATGTGCCCTGTGCTTAAGTTTATCTTCTCTGTTCAGTGTGACATTTTCTTCTCCTTGTGATCACTTTATAGATGCTAATTTTTTTCTTTTAGTAGAGTTTATTATCATAACCAGGATTAAGAAGCCAACAAAAGTTGCTGGATGGCAAATAGAATGAAAGATCTGAGGAAAGATGCAGTTTCTTTTTTAAAAAAATTTTCCCTGATAACTTGAGTAAAAACATTAGATTAACATGCATCTGCTATTATTTGTGTGTGTGTGTGTGTGTGTGTGTGTGTGTGTGTGTGTGTGTGTGTAATGTCTTTTAGGGGGAACTTGAACGGCAGCTTTTGCAAGCAAATCCAATTCTGGAATCATTTGGAAATGCGAAGACTGTGAAAAATGATAACTCATCTCGTTTTGTAAGTTTAAAAGCTTTTAATTCCTTAGATTTCTAGTTAAATGTCTACTGTGATTAAGCAAATGAATTACTTTTCTTTCTACATTTTAAGAAGCTAATAGATGTAGTGTAGAACAGTGCTGTTCTGTAGACGTAATACAAGCTCACATGTAATTTTTAATTTTTTAGTAATCACATTTTTTAGAAAAGGAAATGTATATGTAATTTTAATCATTTTGCTATACAGAAATATGTAACTCTGTGTCTTATTTTATGGATATGTTATTTAACCTCTCTGAGCTTATTTCTTTATCTTTGGGCCTGATAATAACACCTGTCATGGAATTGGAGCGGAGATTAAACGGTGTGCACGTTGAACACTTACCACAGCACTAGGCATAGTAAACATTCAACACATTAGATGTAGTAAACTGACCTTTGACCTTTTCCTGTCTTGCTATTTTCTGTGGGATTTGGACTTCAGAATAATTTGTCTCTACTATTACTTCTCTTTACATTTTTTTTTCTTGAGACAGTGTCTTGCTCTGTCACCCAGGCTGGAGTACAGTGGCACAGTCATAGCTCTCTGCAGCCTCCAACTCCTGGTCTCAAGGGATCCTCCTGCCTCAGTCTCCCAAGTAGCCGGAACTACAGGCCCCCACTGCTTCACCAGGCTAATTTAAAATTATTATTGTTATTTTTTAGAGACGGGAGTCTCATTATGTTTTCCCTTACTTTGCGAGGCTGAGGCAGGAGGATCACTGGAAGCCTCAGCCTTCCAAAGTACTGGGATTACAGGAATGAGCCCCCACTCCCAGCCTAAAAATTCTCCTTAGCTGTTCAACTTGAAAGCTTTCCTTTCCCTCTCGGTTTTACTAGCTGTACCTGTTGACCCAAGAATGTTATCCTAAGTGATGGCCAGGTCTCTGTTACTTCGGGGACACGGCCCCTCTCCATCCCAGCTGCTCAGCTTCAACAGTGTCACAGCAAATAATCTCTAAACCCATATTCAACACAATGGACATTCTTCCAGTAAGTCTTTTGCCTTCGATTATGGTCATCAAGTTTCAGAAACCCCTTCCATAGTTAGACTAAAGAAGGACCTCATTGTTCAATTATTTCCACTTAAGTTGTTCGGATAAATTCTTCTCTTTTTTTCTCCCTGCTCTGAAGTATTGGTAAAAGTCAACAAGGCCAGAGTAAAAGAGACCTCAGTTTTAACAGTTTACTGATAGATAATGTGGGGGTCTAGTGTCATTGTGATATGCTTTTCGAAACTGAGAATGTAACATCATGGTCTGCACGTTAATTTTCTGATGGCGTGGTTGCCGTGATTAGTGGAAGTGACCAGATCTTGGATCACAAAGGACCCAGCAAACACAAGGGCAACCAGAAAGCCCCCTGTATTAGTTCTATAAGGCTGCCATATAAAAATACCACAGACTATGAGCGGCATAAACAACAGAAATGTATTTTTTCACAATTCTGGAGGCTAAAAGCCTGAGCAAGGTGTTGGCAGGATTGGTTTCTTCTGAGGCCTCGTGTAACTGAACCCAAGTTCAGCTGCTTACCATGTGAAAGCCGTGTACAAGAGATGAGAGTTGGTGGGAGGAAAAGTAGGTTTATTTGGAGAGCCAGCAAACAAGGAATATGGTGGACCAGTGTCCCAGAGGACCCTCTCAAGTCAGAACACATTTTAGGCTGTTTTTATGTTAAGGCAGGGAGAAGGAAAAGGTTGGGATTAAGAGGTAACTGACGACCACAGACATCTGGACACCAGCAGGGGTTCAAGGAGGTTGGGAATATCTTTGTCCTTAGTGAAGTCACAGTGCTCCTATAAATCTTTTACGAAACATAGTTGTTCACACACTTTTCCTTTAATCTCAGAGTTCGTTTTAAAAACTACCTGATTGCTGTTTTTACCTATTATGTTAGTGCTCTAAAATTATCCTTGCCTGTGTGCAGGAATTGGTAAAGGCCCCTTAAATAAAAATGGAGTTAGTTATGTTAATTCTCTTGCTGTTTCACTGTACACTCTTTATGGCTTGTAGATGGTCATAGTCTCCCTGTGTCTTCACTTGGTCTTCCCTCTGTGTGTGTGTGTGTCCTAATCTCTTCTAAGGACACCAATTATATTGAAGTAGGGCCCACCCTAATGACCTCTTTTAATTTAATTACTTCTTTAAAGACCCTCTTTCTAATTACAGTCCCATCATGAGGTCCTGGAGGTTAGGACTTCACCACATGAATTTGCGCGGGGACGCATTTCAGCCCATAGCACCCTCAGAGATAGTTTCATGCAAGACGCTTTCCGAGTTATGTAAGAAATAGGACTGTATTTTCTTAGAATATTGTTTATTCCCAGTAAGATAAAATTTTAAGATTGGCGTTATCCAAGTTCATCTAGTAATTTAGCTTTTTATGTGCAAAGCAGGGTAACAAATGTGCCTGTGTCAGTAGGAGGCATGCCTGTGACTTGACTTGGGGATTTATAAACAATCTGAGGAAACTGCATTCCTTGACTTTCTGTCATTCTCCTGGATCATCCCCATTGAGCCTGAGCCACAATTAAATCTGAAATTTTCCTACTGAAATGCCCTGTGTTTAGTGGCTATATCACAGGATAGAAGCAACAGTGAGCTGCCAGCTTTGGTATGTGAATCACCATCAAGATCTTCAAGGACTTCTTTTTGGAAAATCGTTTATCTTACCACAGAAATCAAGTTACTAACCTATTCTGATTCTCCCAGCTCTAAAACCATACCCTAAATTCAAGAGAAACAGTTTTGTGCTCAGTTGTCTCATTTTTTTCCTGGAAAAGATAAATTGCTACTAAGCTGTCATTTGTGTCCTTGGGTAAAGACTGTAGTGATTCTAAGTATAAGATTTATCTCCCTGCCAGGGTGTGCTTCAACTCATTATTTTAGTGTTTAGGACAGATATAATTCTGTATTAGTTACCAATTGCCACATAGCAAATGATCCTAAAACCTGGTGGCTTCAGGCATCGATTATCTCACAGTTTGTGTGTGTCGGAAAGTCAGTAGCAGCTTAGCTGGGTGACTCTGGCCCAGGGTCTCCTCAGAGGTCGTCACTAAGATGTTGTTGGCAACAGCTGTAGTCATCTGAAGGCCTGACTGAGGTGGGAGGATCTCCTTTAAATCTTCCTTAGGTAGTTCTTGGTGGGAAGTCGCAGTCCAGCATGGCTTTTGACTGGAGGCCTCAGTTCCTGAAGTTGGAGGCAGCCTCTCCATAGGGCTCCTTGAATGTCGCCATGCTATGGCAGCCAGCTTCTCCCAGAGCGA